TCTGTGATTTTTGTTATGATTTTAGTTTTTTTTAAAAAGACATTCTGGCATTTGTGGTCATAAAGAAACAAGATCAGCAGCCTGCTTCCTATGTGCAACCTTCATTTATTCTCTTTAATTGCAGTGCTTCTCTGGCTTCTGCTTGCCCTTTTTTGGCACCTACCCGTTGATAACTGTTCAGGGATGTAGTATAAATGATTCATGTCTGTCATATGACAAATAAGCCGATCATAGTCATTTGGCATGGATGAAAAGCAGAGGGATGAACAGACAAGAGACACATGAAAGAATGGATGTCTGGGTGAGACTCGGTTCGATACTGCTCAACAAAAGGATTTCACATGAGGCTGAGGCTTCCTCAGGCATCCCGCACTCTTTGTTCATTTTGCCAAGTTAACTCACACAAGTCGACAACCTGCCGACATTGCCAGAGAAGGATGATAACAGCTGTAGTTCCAGACAGACAACCCTCTACTGATTCCTCAAATCTGCAGGCCTCAGTGTGGTTACTCCAGCACTGGCGACACATAGAAAATACCCCCCAAAAGCCAAGAGATAATTTGTTTTTACCTTCTCTTCCATCACCTGAGGCAGGTGAGAAGACGTTCCCAATGGCACATCAATCCATGCATTTAGATTAGGTATTTAGATTCTGTCAGACATTCTGATGTGAAAATAACATTGTTTAATGGATCAATGCAGCCAGGAATTCAAGGTAAATATTCCATACATAATCTGCCAGTCAAAGGTTTGGACACACCTTCTCATTTAATGGTTTTTCTTTATTTTTAATACTTTCTACATTGTAGAGACATACTGAAGACATTATGAAGCAAGATATATGGAATTATGGAGTTAGCAATGAAAAAATTGATAAATAACTCTAAATATGTTTTATATTTTAGATTCCTCAAAGCAGCCACCCTTTGCTTTGTTGACAGTGCTGCAAACCGTTGGTCTTCTCTCAATGAGCTTCATGATCAAGTCACTTGAAATGGTTTTCACTTCACAGTTGTGCCTTGTCCAGGTTCATTTGTGGAATGTCTTGCCTTCTTAATGGGACTGGGACCCTCAGTTATGTTGTGCAGGTCAGGTTGGTACACAGCTGACAGCCCTATTTGACAACTGTTAGAATTCCTATTATGGCAAGAACCAATCAGCTAAGTAAAGAGAAACAAGAGTCCATCATTATTTTAATAACTGAAGGTCAGAAAGTCCAGAAAACTGCTAAAACTTTGAATGTGTTCCCAACTGCAGTTGCCAAAACCATCAAGCGCTACAATGAAAGTGGCTCACATGAGAACCGCCCCGGGAAAGGAAGACCAAGAGTCACCTCTGCTGCTGAAGATAAATTCATCCGAGTCACCAGCCTCAGAAATCGCAAGTTAACAGCGCCGCAGACTAGAGGCCAGATAAATGCCACACAGAGTTCCAGTAACAGACACATCTCTACTGTTCAGAGGAGACTGCGTGAATCAGGCCTTTATGGTCAAATAGCTGCTAAGAAACCACCACTAAGGAAAAGCAACAAGCAGAAGAGATTTGTTTGGGCCAAGAAACACAAGGAATGGACATTAGACTAGTGGAAATCCAATTTTGAGATCTTTGGTTCCACCCAACGTGGAAAAGGTGAACAGATGGTCTCTACATGTATGGTTCCCACTGTGAAGCATGGAGGAGGAGGTGTGATGGTGTGGGGGTGCTTTGCTGTTGACACTGTTGGGGATTTGAACCAGCATGGCTGCCACAGCATCCAGCAGTATCTATCTATCTATCTATCTATCTATCTATCTATCTATCTATCTATCTATCTATCTATCTATCTATCTATCTATCTATCTATCTATCTATCTAT